CTGGCGGAGCGGACACGGCCCTGCCGCTCGCGGAGAGATTTCGTTGCAGGTGCTTATTTCTGCGCCGTTTCTGGCAACTTTGGGCGTTAATTAGCCGTGTTGCTCCTGCTCCTCTCTGTTCATCTGTTCCCAGGGAGAGAAAACGGTGTGTGCTGAGCTAAACGCAGCCAGATTTTAAAATAAAATAATGAGTTTAAAAGTATGCAGTTTTTGTTTGTTTGTTTGTTTGCTTGTTTGTGTTTTTTTTTTTCTTTTTTGAGGGGGACGGGGGAGGGATGGAGCAGGGCAAGGGGCAGAGAGTAAAGCAAAATAAGTCTATCGCCTGGAGAAATGATGCAATGTTACTGCTGCCCAGTGGCAGTAACCGGAATTGGGTCGTTTTAGGGACAAACGCCAGCAAAATTCAAGTCACGTCCACTTTGGATATAAGGATGTGTCCTCTTTAAAAATTGTTATGCAAAAGACTCCTGTACGTGATCCTCTTGCGATAAAAAGCAGCAAGCCAAATATTGGAGACCAAGTCAATAATGTATGAGTAGATTAAAGAACTTCTCTCCCAGGCAATTATTTCAAGAATCAAAAATCTTGCTCTCCAAAAATTTCGGAAATAATAGTGATAATAACAGCAAAAGCAAATAAAGCCAAGTACTACTGCTATGATCTTTTGCTCTTTGCCCCTTGCTTAAGAAGTGCATTTGTTTGTTTGTTCGTTTTGTTTTTATTTTTTTTTTCCCAATCGGGGAGAATAGCCGAGAAGGTATTTTAAACAGCAGAAGTAGACGGAAAAACTCGACAATTCGCAATAATCCACTGCTCTTGGGACTAAATGGACATATCACAGGGCCGCCGGCCTGCCTGCATTTATTTGTCTTTAAAGCCCCGGGTAAAAAAAGTTTCCGGCACTGCGGTTCTAACAAAAGGTGCTAGAAAGCACTGGGGGTGTCGGGGGGGCACGAGGGGAAGCGGGTTTAAAGCCCGTTTGCGAGGTGAGCAGCTCCGCGGGCGCGGAGGGCAGGGGAGGCCGGAGGGCGGCAGCGCCGGGGCCGGAGGGAGCCCGGAGCCGGGGCTGGAGCCGGAGCGGGTCTCGCTGCTGCCGAACTGCGGGGAGGAAACCTGCACAGGTGCCCGTGCACGGGGTGGCGTTCCCTTTGTGCATTTACCTCTGGATCTGCACTAAAAACTTCCCCTTTCCCCTATTTTTCTTTTCCTTCCTTCCTTCCTTCCTTCCTTCCTTCCTTCCTTCCCTCCTTCCCTCCTTCCCTCCTTCCCTCCTTCCCTCCTTCCCTCCTTCCCTCCTTCCCTCCTTCCCTCCTTCCCTCCTTCCCTCCTTCCCTCCTTCCCTCCCTCTTTCACTCTCTCTCTCTTTCCTCCTCCCAGTTCTGATCTTGGTCTTAATGTTATTGACGTGGGAACAACTGGAAATGGAATCGTTCTGGTGGCAAAAAGAGAGAGGAGATATCTGATGAGACACCGAAAACATGGGGTCTGGGCTTCCCACAGGCATCCTGGATTCAAGTAGGCTCCATCCCTTCCAGGAGAAGACATGGACATTTTGACACGAGGGGGCCAGGGCTATGGACGCATTTGGGGTGCAGCACGAAGAAGACATGTAATCTTTTGGAAGCGGTGGTTCCTCCTGGTCTTTGGGAGAGAGAAAAGGTCCCACCAGCGAGGCACATCCACAGCCAGCACCCCAGGCTGACCCGCCACACCGAGAGCCTTTTCCAAGACATGCCACAGTACAACAGAAACACTCCATAGTGTGGCATTTCACCTGCACACCCAGCCCTGCAGCCAAATCCCACAGCCCTCTCCAGACAGCAGACCCGCATTCCTGAGCTAGACAAATGATGAAAAAGTTCCAGTTCCCGTCTAATGAAAGGCCTCCATCTCCCTTCCCCCAGAGGTTTCCGATGCACATATAATTAGCTCTCAATATTTCATGAATATGGGGTTTTACTAATTCCTTTTCACTCAGGAGACTTGGCGTTTGCAGCTTTGTGACATTGTGCAGGAAGCCCTGTCACTGGCAAGGGTGGTTATGGCACGGAACTGCCCGCTGGATGGATTCATAATGTTCCTTGAGCCAGGCAGCCAGAGGTGCCGAACGGAGGACCATGGTCCTTTCCATTCAGCAAATTCAATGTACTGTGGGATTTCAGTCTTTGAGGGCAAAGACATTCTTGCATAGGGAGAATTTCAGGAGGAGGTCTTTGCTTCTGAAGCTACCGCATGTTTTGGAGGGAAATCAGTACTTCCTGACCAATAAGAGTGACTATCTTAGGAAAATCAAGGGTAGATGTAGAGTCAAATATCACCAAGAAATGCCCTACCAAATCCTGATACCTTTTGCAATTTTCTGTAGTGATAGGTGTTCCAAACCATCTAATTCCAACATCTCCCCGTGCTTCCCTTGTAAGTAACCAAGGGCAAAACTACCCCTGCATCATCTTCATTTTTTGCATATCTGGGTTAGTAGAAGGCAAAATCAACGTGCAGGGAGGGCTGCCTTCAAGGCCTCCTTGCCTTGTAGATTCTCTTGTGGAGCCACGTGCGTGCCTAGTGAGTCTCATCCCATCACTCACATGCAATATGGGGACCTGCAACATCTCACCTCTGTTTGCAGACACTTGTGCTGTGAGAAATCTGTAGGAGAAAAATAATCCTTTAGAAGTCGTTCTTCAGAAGCTGCAAGGAGGACTATCAGTGAGTCAAATTTTGCTGATCTGTCTGTCATTCAGTCATTCTTCCTCCAATCATGTCAGTAGGCACCAAGTACTTTTTTTTAATTATTTTTAATCATTTTTCATGCTGTTCGTATCACATGTGCCTCAAATACTGTGCTGTAACAACAGTTTAGTCCCTGGGGAGGCCTGCTAAATATACTATAAGAATAGAGTTTGGTCCTGCTGTCCCAGTGGATTTGGGCTAATGGGGTTTTCACCATATCACGTTATTGCCAAGCACTAGCATGCAGTGGATGAGCTTCAGTAAAGGCACCCCACAGCCAGAAACATCTCATTAAAAATCCCATTATCTCCATAAATTTGGTTATTATTAATTTAAATGACTGCCTTGTGATTTGTAAGAAGGAAAACAAATGCTGCAAGAAGTGATGTTTGGGATCAATGGGGTTTTATTTGGTGCACGTTTTTAGTTGGACATTGAAGAGTCTTCCCAATTTACAGCAATTGCCGTCTCTATACATGGTCCATGGAAAGACAGCTTTGTTTTGTTCTATTAAACGCCGTGAGTCACCAGTTATGGTGATGGGTTAGTGCTTTGCCTGCTTCTTAATAACAGCGTAGGTCTGAGATGGGCCTTTCCACCCTGCAATTCCCTGGTTGTTTACTCAGAGACCGCAATCGGAGAGGAGTTCCCGTGTGAGCCCTGAGTCACGTCCCCGGGACCCTGCCGCTTGCCGGGGCAGCGATGCGTGTCAGGGCTTCTTGCACGTAGGAACCATGGTAGACGGTGCAATCCCATAGGATTGGTGTATTTTGAAACCATAAACCCAGGCACACTTTGAGAGAAATCCAGGCCTGCGTGGCTTTTCTTTCCAGGATCCTCTGAGCCTCTGAAGAGCTTCCCAGGACGTGCAGAGCATCTCCTGCAGGACCCTCAGGAGTGACTTGTGTGCTTGAACACGCTCTCCAGTGTGCATATTGCCCTGTTTTTCCAGCACCTTCGAAAGTCAGCAGTGCTTTTAATCCACCCACGATTTACTGATCCATGGCTCTCCTCTGAGTCGGGAGGAAGGACCCTGGGTGCAGCCTTGTGGTTGCCCCTCATCTGGGGCAAGCGGCGATGGAAAGGAGGTTTCGAGGAGGATGGCTGTGAAACCAGACTCGCACTACGCAGCTGGGGTCAACTCTCTTCACCGGTGCAAAG